ACACGTGTTCTCAGTTTCAGCTTTACAGAGGGCAGGCAGCTGCTTTGGCCTCCCTGAAAAATACTCTGAGTTCCCATTTTCTGAAGGGACAGCTGTGATTTATTGGGGGTTCTTCTTGGATGAAAAACTTGAGGGCTGTGAGCAAGGATGAGAAGTGTGTGAGTTGGTATTGCCCTTTTTAAGAGGTGTCCACTCTAAACAGGTGAATAAAAAGGAAAAAAATTCTGTAAGTGTGGGTACCCAGAAAAATATGTTTATAGGAAGATGTCTTTGAAAGCTTCAGAATAAATTGCATTCAGGCCAGTAGAAAGCTAATTTTGAATTAAACCACAGTGTTTTGGTGGTTTTTTTCATCATGACAAAACTGCTGTGAGATGCTCTGAAAAAGCTGGAGCAGCTCTGATGTGTCACTGGAGACCTTTGATGTGCAGCCCTGCAGACAGATCTGATTCGTGTGAATCAGAGGCCTCGTTTCCTTTGCATTTCAGTCGAATTTGGAAAAATAAAGAATTTGGAAAAATAATCTGGACAGGCAGAACATGGGGGTCCCAGCTGGGAATTCTTGTGGCAGCAGGACAGGGAGCATTGTGGTGTCCCCAGCCAGCAGTGGGACACCTTTCCAGGCTGGGATTATCCCAAATCCATCCCCCAGGAACCACCCACAGTGTGTGAGGTGCACTTCAGAAATCACAGACAAGAGCTGGGGGATTTCCATTTTTCCATTTCACTGCAGAAGGGGAAACCAGAAGCTCTTAATTGTGAATAAGTAGCATTAAGTAAAGGCATTTTATGAATTAATAACTGAGTCTGAGGGGCCATTGTTTTTCTGAGCTCTTCAGAGGGGTGTTGCTAATTAACACAGACTTGAGGTGTGATGAGGTCTGGTCCTGGCACAGAAATGCTCAGAAGAGGATTCTGTCCCGTGGTGTTTGAGGTGTCATCCTTGCCTTCCCTGGTGTCACTAAGCACAGCAGTGGATGAAGAGATTTTAAATTACCTTTAATTTTTGTTCCTGGGAGGGAGATGTGGTGCTTCTTGAAGTGCTTTAACTGGGGTAGAACAAAGGAGGTGCAAGAAGGATGTTTGGTGCAAAGCCTCTCCAAATTGTACTAGTTAATGTTATTTATGATCTTCTGGTATTTTATGGTACTGCTGGATTTGATTTTTTCCTTTTTTTTAATGTGGAAGTTTGCTACTTTCCTTATGTTTTTCTGATTTCTCAGTGGGCAGGTGGTGTAAAGGTGTTTGGAGTTTTTTGTTCTCCAACTCCAGAAAAACAACAAATTTGGTATTTTCCTTTCAGTTGTGTTAGAAGTGAGCTTTGAACGCTTGCATTCAGGGCAGGAGTGAAAATCAGAGATCTGACCATGCAGAAGGGGTGGTGTGACTGCAAACACTGAGGAGCTGATTGTTGTGTGAGCAATGATCACCTTTAGCTGGAGTGGGAGGCAGGGAAAGGAACAGAGAAAGGAGGGGAAAGCATTTTGGACACTCTGCAGTTCCAACAAAACATTGTTATTATGTAAGATTATAAATATATTAAAATATATTATATACTATATATGGTATATAATAATTATATTAATAGTATATTATTTTGTATTGTATTCTATTATAATGATACTATATATTATATACATGTAATAAGATAATATATTATGTTATTAATATAAATAATTATGTAATGTTATAATTGCTTTATTATGTAAGATTTGGCAGTGATTTACTCACCAAAAAATAATTTGAGAGGGTTTTTTCCCATTCATTTTCGGGGGAAAGTGTTTGGACACTCTACAGTTCCAACAAAACATTTTTATTATGTAAGATTATAAATATATAAAAATATATTATTACATACTATATATGGTATATAATAATTATATTAATAGTATATTATTTTGTATTGTATTCTATTATAATGATACTATATATTATATAAATGTAATAAGATAATATGTTATTAATATAAATAATTATGTAATATTATAATTACTTTATTATGTAAGATTTGGCAGTGATTTACTCACCAAAAAATAATTTGAGAGGGTTTTTTCCCATTCATTTTCTCAAAACCCGAGTTGTTTTCCTCATTAAAGTACTAATGCTGACCTGCAGAAATCAGCTGGGAAACTTTTTTTTTGTTTGTTTGCTTGCAAGGACCTTTTCTGTGTGAAGTGTCAGCTCTGTGTGCAGCATGTGACTCCTCCTGTGGCTCAGGGTGACTCCTTTGTCCCCAGGCTGGGTGGTGGCACTGCCAACACCCGGGCAGGGCAGGGCTCTGCCCCTGCAGCTCCTGGCAGCCCTGCTCTGCTCGCAGGATTTATTCTGAGTTTTGTGTACACAGGGGGTGCCAGAGGGGAGGGTGGCACTGGGATGGAGCTCTTTGGGTGGCATTTTGGTGCCTCTCTGGTGGCAGGGCTGTGCTGTGGTTTCAGATTTTTGGTTCCACTGCTTGGATTTTCAAATCAGAGTCTGGAATGTGGGGCTTTTCAATAAGAGCAGACACCTGGATTCTTGGAATTATTGCAGTTCTGGGGTTGTAGCTATAAGCTGTAATTATAATTATTGCAGTTCTGGGGTTGTGCTTTTGAGTAAGAGCAGACACCTGAACTCTTGGAATTATTGCAGTTCTGGTGGGTGACAGGATTTTATAGGGTTTTATTTCCTGACAGAGATCCCTGTAACATTTCTGAGAGGTTTGTGATATGAGGATGTTTTATTACTTTATTTATTATTTATTGTGTCTTTGTGGTTTCCAGTGACAACACTGACTGATCAGCTTCACATTAATGACAATTAAACATTTGATTAATATTTATAGCATTTTTTTTCTAGGGCAGGCACCTGCAATAGAGGTCTCTGACCAAAATGCTGCTGCAGCTTCTGCTTTTAGGAAATGGTCTTGAAACTGAATCAGTGCAGAGTGTCAGGCTTTTGCTTCCCCTTTCTTTGCAGAATTGTTGCTCAAGGACATGAGTGGTGCTCTGGGAATGGCCTGAGTGTGCAAATGCTGCCAAAATGCAATTCCTGCCCAGGCTGTGCAGCTGAAACACTCTGAGTTTCATTTCTGAATGAAACCCTTCCCTGAGAAATCAGCAAATGAAACCAAAAACTTTTTGTAAAAGCAACATATTTATGTTTCTCAGTTATTTCTGCATATAGGAACGAAGTAAAGCTCTGAAATATTTAATTTTTTTTTTTCAATTTTGCTCTACAGCAGCACAATATTGTCTGTCAGACTTTTCAGTGGGAAAGAAAAGAAAGTATTCAGCTGCTCTCCCATCTATAAAAATGAGAACACGTAGCTATAAATTACGTCATTAAGAAATTTATTCCCTTAATATGCATGTCTCTAAAAAAAACTATTTTTAGGTTATTTTTAAAAACTCATTATTTCTTTCAAAAATAGAAAAGTGGAAGAAATCTTAATACTTACGTAGATAAGATGGAATATTTAATTTGTTCCCCCCTCAGAGAAAATTGTGTGTTTCCTGTTACTTTGCTTAAAATAACTTGATTACATTAATGGGAAATGTTAAACATGATCAGTCTTTTAAAATGGGTAACTGAGCTTGGAAGAAAAGAGCTGGAATTTCCTGTAGTAGAAAACTCTCAGTGACATTTGTGCATGTTCCATCTTCTGCTGGATGATCCAGGGAAGAGTTTGGGGGTGGAATTTCAGGGCAAAAGAAGATAACTCTGACTCAGTTGCTGATGCTCTTCAGTTTGAGAAAATCCCTTTTCCTCTTGCTTTCCATGCGTGGCACCTCTGGAATGGCAGGAAGGAAAAGGGGCTGCATTTACTGGAGAAAACCTTGCTGTGCTATTTCTGCTGTCCCTGTTTGTCAATATTGAAAAAAAAAAAATCACTATTTTAACATGCACACCTTAACCTTGCTGCTGCAGGTGATGCTGTGCTGCTTTTCTCCTGGGATGACTCCAGCATTTCCCACGGGAAGCAGGAGCTGGGCTGTGGGCTGGTTCCTCTCAGGGAAGGAGGGGAGGCTGGATGCTCACTGCGTGCTCCAAGGCAGCCCTGGCACGGTGCTGCTGTGGGCAGGAGAATCCTTTTTGTTGCAGTCCCTGGATAGAAACCCCCAGAGCTGTGCTGTGAGCAGGCAGCTCAACCCTGGCAGGGCTTGGAGGAGCTGGGGATGTGCCCAGCTGGGTCAGCTGTGGTTCCCCTGGGCCCTTCTGGGGGCCAGAGATCCCTAAAGCCTCCCCAGGGTGGTTCTGTGCAGGCTCAGTCTCAGCACACAATATATTCTATGTGCTCCCTTTGCTGGGTTTGGAGCTTTATTTCTTTTTTCTCCATTGCTTTGTGCCTCTGGCTCTGAGAACAAGGTGCTGGTGAGAGCAGAGCCTTGGGTCTTTGTCCCCTGGCTGTGGCACTGTCACTGCAAAGGTGTGCCTTGGGCCTTTGTCCCGAGGTGCTGGTGAGAGCAGAGCCCCTGGCTGTGGCACTGTCACTGCAAAGATGAGCCTTGGGCCTTTGTCCCTTGGCTGTGGCACTGTCACTGGTTCCCTGGAGCACTCTCTGGAGCTGTGTAAGGGTCACAGCCCTGCAAAGATGTGCCTTTTTCCCCTGGCTGTGGCACTGTCACTGCAAAGGTGTGCCTTGGGCCTTTGTCCCCTGGCTGTGGCACTGTCACTTCTGCCCTGAGCCATTTTCTGGACCGGTGTGAGGGTCACAGCCCTACAAAGACATGCCTTGGCAGTTTGTCCCCTGGCTGTGGGACTGTCACTGGTTCCCTGGGCCATCTCTGGGGCAGTGTGAGGGTCACAGCCCTACAAAGACGTGCCTTTGTCCCCTGGCTTTGGGGCTCCTGGTTATGTAACTGTGCCCTTCCTCCCGTGGCACTCATTCAGTTGCTATGGAGCTGTTAAATAATTCAAGCAGGTGACTCCTTTCCAAAGGCAAACCCTCCGAAGCAATGATTTCCAGCAGGCTGCTGCCAGCTTTGTGTTTTTAACCCTTCTCCTGCTCCTCCAGGAGGAAGATGAACCTGAAGTCGGAGCGCAGGGGGATCCACGTGGATCAGTCGGAGCTGCTGTGCAAGAAGGGCTGTGGTTACTATGGCAATCCTGCCTGGCAGGGCTTTTGCTCCAAGTGCTGGAGGGAGGAGTACCACAAGGCCAGGCAGAAGCAGATCCAAGAGGACTGGGAGCTGGCAGAGCGGTAAAGAACCTTCTTCTCTTCCTTCAGGGTGACTCCACCACATCCTGCTCCTGCCTCCTCTGTCCTAGTCCTGTTAGCTCAGGTTCATCACAAATTCCCCAATTTGACCTTTCCTTCCTTTTGATGTAAAGATGGATATTTAGGACATTCTGCTATAAGAGGTTTGAAAAGAAAATTGAGGAGGGAACAAATGTAAACAGAGCTCAACCTCCCAATACTTTGACCTAATTTGCATATGCAAATGTGTACTTCTGACTAGTAGTTAGAAGGGTTAAAGGGACAATTTTGATTAAACATCCTCTGGAGATGGCAATTATTCCTTGGGTCTATGCAGCACCATGGTTTTACATCCCAGCTGCTGATTAAAAACTGATTTTAGTCTTGTCTGTGGTCATTCTTTTAAACTGCAGGCTTAAGCCCAAAAACATCAAAGGTTTTTCTAAAATTGTCTAATCACTTATTTTCTGCAAACCAATCTAGTTTTCCTCTTGTGATAAATGCTTGACCCTGAAAATGGATGTTGTGTTTTCAGAGGTAGCAGAACAGAGGTCATGTCATTGTTTTCCTCTGCCATAAATGTATTACACAGTTAATAAAAACTTCATTATTAGGGCAAATATTTATGGTGCCAGTCTTGAGTCGTCTCTAAAACAAAGTGGGGTATTTAAGGAATTCTTTAATGAGTAGCTGGAAGATGCTAGAGGCACAGATAAGCTGTGATTGTTTGTTGCAGTGAACAGACAGGCTTGTGAGCCCTGATAAGATGCAATTCCTGCCTCAGGAGATTGCAGATCCCAGAGGATGGATGGTCCATCCTGAGCTGGAGGGATGTTTAAAGACAATTGCTCAGCATCCTGAAGGGTGATAGAATGTGACCTGTTTGAATCCTCCTGCACAGGAGGAAAAAAGGATGCAGGGTTGGTGAGTTTGCCCTCCCCTACTTTAGATTAGAAACTTGTCTTTGAGACTTTGCCTCATCCATTCAAGCAGACATTTATCACCAAAGCAGATTATGACAACAATGATCTATTTCCCAAAATGTTCCTGAGATTGGGACTGGGTGTTTTGCTTTTGTAAGATGGGAAAGGACTGCCTGAGGCAATAGGTTGGGGAGCTCAGTGTGAGGCAGGGAGGAAAGCAGTGAATGTGCTGCTGGAAATCCTCCCCTGTGCCTCTGGATAACTCAGAGTGTGATGTGAGGGGCAGGTGACCATGCTTAAACCTCAGCCTTCTCCCTTTGGACCTCACTGTTCAACCCTGAGCTTTCCCTCACTCCTACACTGCAGGAAAGGGGGTGTCCTGCAGTGAAGGGAGATAGGCAGAGGGAAGAATTAACATGCCAGATGAGGAATTAATGATTGCACAGGAAATCAGCTCCTTTGCCTTGTTTCTGAGCCCTTAAATCAGACCTGTCATTTTCCAACTCCAGGCTCCAGCGTGAGGAGGAAGAAGCCTATGCCAGCAGCCAGAGCACCCAGGGGGCTCAGTCCCTGACCTTCTCAAAGTTTGAGGAGAAGAAAACCAACGAGAAAACAAGAAAGGTCACTACTGTGAAGAAGTTCTTCACTGCTTCCTCCAGAGCAGGAGCTAAGAAGGGTAACTCTCCTTTGCTTTTCATGCTTCTGTGTGTTTTAAAATGAAAAGTTTTTGTTCTAAAAGGCAGATTAATGCTCTGTGCTTTGACTTTTAAAAGTTGGAATAGTGATGCTTCTGGAGAGTGATTGCTACTGAAAACACAGAAAAATGTGAGTGGTGCCAAACAATCTGTGAAATGGAGCAGTGCACTGCTAAACCTGTGTTTATATGTGATTATACACAGAACAGCAGAAATGTGTTCCTGGTGCTGGCACTGCACTGCTGAGGGGAAGTTCCTTGTTCCTCTGGCACACATTCCAGAGAAATTCCCGAGTCAGCCGTGGTGTCACACCAGGATTTAGGGCTGGAAGGGGATTTCCTCCTGGAGAGAGCAGCAGAGAAGGTGCTGGCTGTCAGTCACCTCAACAAACTGCTGTGTGTGAGTGTGATAGAAATATCACACTCACAGTGAGATAAAATAGCAGCTGGTGCTGCCAGAGTGCCTCACTTTGACAGGAAAAAATGGGATGTGTGAGCAGGGTGCCTTGAGCTGCACATAAATGTGAGGCTGGCAGTGTTTGTGTGGGCTGGGAATATCAAGTTTGTGGCTGGGTGTTTGTTCTACAGAATGTGTTACAAGCAGGAATGATGAGTGGCACTGCTGGCTTGGCATAGCAATAGCTCACACAGGCAGAAGCTGGGAAATGCTGGGCTCTGGAGGAGGAATCCCAGAAGGAAAAGCAACATTAATCTGTCTTAACCTTAGAGACAATGCATGTCCTTTATTTGAAATTCAGCATTTTTCTGGTTAGAGTTGTCCTGGTGCATGACAGCAGCTGGCTACACAAGGCATTCATTCACCTGCATTCAACCTTTTTTTTTTTTTTTAATGTTCATTCTTCTCACTTTCCATCTTTTCTTTTTTTATCCCTTCACCACCTGCCCTGCTCCTGCTCTTGGTGCCCTGCTTGCTTTGGCCTCTTTATTTCAGCAGCTGAAGAGAAAACCCCTAAGCAAGGACAGCTTGGGAGGGAGAGAAATGCTGATAACATTCTCAGGGATTTGAAGGAGATTTTTACTCCCTCCTGGGAACTGGCTTCCCCTTCTGAAGGTAATGCAGCACAGCCTGGGCAAGCTGTCTGCCTGGTTTTAGTAAGCTTGGCTCTTAGTTGGGCTTTGCTAAACACAAACTAGGGTTGTGCCAGTTGTAACTCGTGCTCTTCAACATGAAGATGGCAAAAAAAGCAAGTCCAGCATCCTGAGGTGATGTTGAATCTCTAAACAAATCCTTTGCTTTTCAGCAGGGAGTCACAAGAGTAAAGCTGAAGCTTCTTTGAGCTCCACTTTAGCATTAAGATCAAAAAAACAAGAATTTTTTAAGAATTAGCTGGATCTTGTGCTGCTTTGTGTTTTTATTTTAAAAAATTCCAGGTTGCTGTTACAAATCTGATTATTATGAGTTGAAACCACTTCAAGAACTTTGGCATTCTCAAAACATCTCCAGATATTTGTTATATAAACCAAGAAGAAGATTTCCCATCAAGAGGAGACACTGGTTTCACTTAAACCAAAAGGACACCAAACCCCTTGATGCAAACAGCTTTAAGAGCTCATTCTCCATTGATTATTTGCAATCCTGACTTGTTCTGCTGGCTAAAGAAATGTGCAGTGCTTATTAATTATTACAGGAGGGTGATGAAGGCTGTGTGGGACAGAGCTGGGGACAAACCCTGTTCCCCATTCCATGCTTGGACTGGCTCTGTGGCCATGGCACAACCATAGTGAATCCCTGGAGTGCTCCTTTCTGCTGTGACAAGTGGCTTTCCTTAGAAAGATTGAAATATTAATTGTGTTTATTCTTTGTGGAGCCGATCCTTCCTTCGCTCTTCCCATGCTCGCTCCTGGTGTTTTGGCATTTTCCTCTCTTTAACTGGTTGGAATTTCTTGGCTGTGATCAGCTTCTTTTTAGTTAGACTGAATTCTCTGAGAACACAGGACAAACCTGAGGATATTTTATTGCTGGAAGTTCATTTGTTCCTGCAGCACTTGGTAATCAGTACAGATTAATTTTCCTTAAATCAGGATTTCAGCTCAGAGATCAGTGAAGCTGCAACTATAAGTAATTCTTGGAGTAACTCATTAAAAGATGGCTCATTCTAATTAATATTCACTTTTTAATACTTAATATTAATCTGCCTCAGTTGACTACATCTCTCTAGTAACTAAACAGCAATCTAGTTTGAATTTGTGACTGAAAAAATAATATTCACATCCCTTAAGGTCAAATAGTAAAATGAAGCTCATTATTTTTATAAAAGAGTGAACTCATTGTTGAAGTAAGCAAATAAACCTTCAGCTCTGCTGTGAAATGAGATCAGCAACTAATCATAGCAGAAATATCTGATAATTCTGCCCTTTTCTTTGTTTATTATTTCCAAACAAGCTTCCTGCTTCTCTAATGACAAATTGAATTAATGGCCACCCTTCAGCTGGAATCCTGTGGAGGATTTGGGGTTCATGCAGTGAATCCTGGGTATAAAGGCAATGGAAGGAATTCCCCTCTGGAAAATGCCCCTGAGTAGCTGGAAAGGAGTTGGATTTGCACTCTGTATCTCAATTGCTGCAGTTGGAATTTAAATATTTGCATAACCTTTTCTGTTTTGGGCACTGAAATACCAGAGGTGCTTTGATGGTGCCTGGCCAAGTTCCCTGAAGTGTGGGGCTCTGGTCAGAGGAGCAGAGCTTGGGTGACACAACTTTGGATTTTCTGCAGTGCTTGATCTCCTCAAAAACACATAACCAAAAAAGCCCCACTAAGCTCCCTCAAATCCAAATTAAACCAACTTAAACATATTAATCCCATTTCTTTCTTTTCCCTCTGGAGCTGTGCATGCTTGTTGAAAGCAGGATTTCTGTGCATGTGAAGTGTTTTCGGGGTGAAAGCCGTGTTTGTCTCGTGCTGACCATGAATATTTTCATGTTTTCTGTCTCTCTGCTGCTTGCCTCTCACCACGTTCATTTCCACCACCTCTGTTCAATCCCTCCATTTCCAACAGCGTTGGCTGGCAAGCTGAAAGGTGGGTGAAGGGGCTGGAGCAGCACAATGAGCTTGGAACTTGGAAAATCAGATTTTGTGGGAAAACCCCCCTGGATGCAGCCCTGGCACCTTGCAGTGTGTGTTCCTCAAGCAGATCTGCCCTGAGCTGCTGGGCAGCCACCTGTGTTGGTGCAAGGAGTGTGGAGGTCAGGGACAGTGGGAAAACCACCCCATTATCTTTAGGAATCTGCAGAATCCCAGCTGGAAACATTAAATGGAGATGTCTGACCTGGGACTGCCTGTAAAACCCAAAAGCAGCCCTGTGTTGCAGTCACTTGTAATATAAAAAGGCCTTTAGGGTGAATGGGGATGTGGCTGTAAATGTTCCACTTCAGTGGGATGCTCAGTTTTCCTGGAGTTGTGTTTCTTAATTATTGCTGTGTTCAATAATATCCAACATCTCCCTGGCAAAACTTGTGAAATACAATTTACACCATTGCTCATTTATAATTTACATTTACACAATTACAAATGACCAATTTGCACAGCTACAAAAATTTAAAAAGTGACTCAAAATGATAAAACCTTTCTGCAATTACCCATCAGTGTAAAAAACCTGATCTGCTGTGCCCTGAATTTTGCCAGCAGAGATCCAGGAGGCCAAGGCTCCCAGCCCTGCCATCCACAGGCAGGCCAGCCTCGAGACAGACCGAGTGTCCAAGGAGTTCATAGAATTCATCAGGACGTACCAGAAGCCTGGCCAGGATATCTACAAGCAATGCAAACTCTTTCTGGACACCATGAGTCATAAAAGGGTGAGCTCTGAATGCCTCTTGTCTCAGTAAAATGGGGAAGCTGGGGGGAGAGGGAGGAGGTGCTGCACTTCTTCCAGCAGTTTGGGTTTTCTGGAGTGGGGCAGGAGCCTTCAGATGATTGGATTGATCAAATAAAGATCTGGGTGCCTTTTTTTTGGTACTTTGGGACCAAAGGATCCTGCTAACCCCAGAGCAGCCCAGATAAATTATAATGTCTGACTAAATCCCACATGAATGAGTCTGTTCAGCAATATTCTACATTAACCTGACTTGTGGAAATGATGTAAGATATCACCTGGTGAGTTTTTAGATCTCACCAGGTGAGATCTAAATTTAGCTTTAGAGTGGTTAGGGTTGGAAGGGAATTAAAGATCATCTGGTTCCCTGGGCAGGGACCTTCCACAGAGCCAGGTGGCTCCAATCCCCATCCAGCCTGGCCTTGGACACTTCCAGGGATGACACAACTTAAGCCTAAAAACTCCTAAAAATAATTCAGCATCAACCCACCCCTCCCCTTTTATAGAGGAAGGGGAACTTGACTGTGCTGCTTTTTTAAATATGAAATAAGTGTTATCTTCATTTTCCATTTTAAAAAAAAATCAATATTCTTGTAACATTAGTCTGTGGTGCCACCTATGGTTGGAATGAGTCGGAATTCAGCACAGCTGTTTTTTTCCCTCTTCTTCTCCCTTTCCTATTTAATTCCTCAAATTCTATGAGAACTTGTGAGGAGATAATCTTACATTCCCTCTATTTTGAATTCTTCTTGAACTTTCATTTCCTTTCTTTTGGCTCTGTTCATTCTGAGCACAGTTTGTGAGAACAGAGTGGGTTTATTTTTGGCTTCAAGCACTGAAGGTGTTCTCATTTCCTACTTCATCCTCTCAAAACATGGGATTTTTTTACCACACATACACCAGGCCTGAAATCCAGTTTCAGCAAGAGCTGAGACCTGTGTTCAGGGAAATATCCAGTTTTTGGCCTTGGAGAATTCAGAAATCAAATTCTCTCCACACTTTTTTAATGTGTGGTTTCATTTAATGATGAGAATTGCCTTAATTAATTTTATGTTCTTCAGGAGCTCAGTTAGCAAAGGCCAGTGTTGTTTCACAAATACTACTGTGAATATATTTCACAGTAACTTTATCATCAGAGATATCTGCTGTAGAGATACTCCTTCAAATAATTGATGTTTTTGGGGGTTTTATAGATTATAAAATGTCTTTTAAAAATCAGAGGTTAAATAGGGATAAACATTTTGCTTAGTCTGAGTTATTTTGCCAGTGCTCCTCAGGGGAAAAAGCCATTGCACCTGTGCTAATATCCATTTATTCAGCAAATAAACACAAATCTCTCACACATTAAAGAGCCAGTGTTGGCCTCTCCTATTTTTAACTAAAATTGAGCCTCTATAAACACCTCTGATGACACCTCTGCATTCTCAGACTGTTACAGCAGCTGGACACTTGCCTTAAACCAAAACAAAACTCGAGGTGTTGCTGCCAGCCCTTCACACTTCTCGTTCTCTTGCAGGATTTAAGCATTGAGGAGCAATCTGAGTGTGCCCAGGACTTCTACCAAAATGTAGCAGACAGGCTGCAGACACGTTGGAAAGGTACCAAGTTCTTCTCTTTCACTTTCCTTCTTCCAAAGGCAGTGCTGTAAAACTAAATTGGATTTTCAGTTCAAGCAAAGCTCAGAAATGCTGGGAGCAGGTTCTGGTTCCAGAGTTAGAATTGTTCCTTCTAGGAAGTTTTGCTGTCCAGATGTTTTTACAAACATTTTCATTTTCTTTTAAATTCTCAGTAGAGTTCTGTTGGATTAAGCCCCTTTCTGACCCAGAAATGGGGTAACTGAGAGGCATTTAAAAACTTTTATTCTATGTATAGAATAAATATATATTTCTTATATATGTATATTGTAATGGATGTATTCTATCCATTTATGAACTCAGGTTGGCTTGAATGATTAATCTTAATTTGCTGATATTGGGATTGAACCTTCCAAAGAGCCCTGGAATATTTGATCTGTGGGATTTGTCCCTTTCAGTGCCCCCTGAAAAAGTGGAGAAGGCAATGGATGAGGTTGAGAAATACATCATGACACGCCAGTATAAATATGTTTTTTGCCCTGAGACAACTGATGATGAGAAGAAAGACCTTGCTGTCCAAAAGAGGATCAGGTAAGGCTTGAAAGGAAAAATAATTGAGTAATTCTCTAAATGAGCTCTGAATCAGCCATGTTAAAACCCTTGTGCTGTGCACAGAAAAATGGCTTGTTAAGGGTTCAAACCATTTTATTTAAAATACAGAAAGAATTAATAGCTGGGATAATGACAACCACTACACTGGCAAAATTTGCTTTTGTTAAATCACAGCCAAAATTAAAAAAAAAAAGTGCTTTCTCTGAAAATAAATGACATCAGTGGAATAAAGTGGTTTATGGCTGGAATAATGCCTCAGTGACACAAAGCATTCCTTTGCCCTGAGTTCAGGAAGCAAAGGTTTCAAACACCTGCATGAGGCTGGCACTGAAGGTTTAACCCCTTTTCTCCTTCCCAGGGCTCTGCACTGGGTCACTCCCCAGATGCTGTGTGTTCCTGTCAGTGAGGAAATCCCAGAAGTCTCTGACATGGTTGTGAAGGCAATTACAGGTTTGTGAGTGATGAATTCTATTTATTCTATTTTATAATAATAATCCTATATATTATTTATACAATATTCTATTATTATATGAATAATATGAATTATTTACAGCTTTGAATCTCATCTCTTGCTTACTGAGATGATTTTTGCTGTCATCAAGAGGTGGGTCCAGGCTGTTAAATGTGCAGAAATTTGGAATTTCATCTATGGAACAGGGATAATTTCCATACTGAAGTGCTGAGATTTAACTGATCTACTTGAAACACTTCCCCACAGACAGAAATGATGCAATAAATGATGCAGTAAAAGAATTCTTAAAAAATAATATGAATTATTTACAGCTTTAAATCTCATCTCTCTTGCTTATTGAGATGATTTTTGCTGTCAGCACAAGGTGGGTCCAGGCTGTTAAATGTGCAGGAATTTGGAATTTAATCTGTGGAGCAGGGATGACTTTCCACACTGAAGTGCTTAGGCTTAACTGGTCTACTTGAATCCCTTCCCCACAGACAGAAATGATGCAATAAATGATGCAGTAAAAGAATTCTTAAATAAAATAATAGAATTTTAAATTAATTCATATAATTTTAAATTAATTTCAGTAGTTTTAAAGAAATTGATATAGTTTTAAATACAGTCCCATAGTTTTAAATACAGTCCCATAGTTTTAAATACAGTCCCATAGTTTTAAATACAGTCCCATAGTTTTAAATACAACCCCATAGTTTTAAATACAACCCCATAGTTTAAAAATAATTGATAAATTTTTAAATTCATTCATATAATTCGAGGTTGCTTTTTAAAAAGAGCAGGAGCAGAAAATGCACTTTATTTCCATGAATACTGCCCAGTGAATGCTGCCTGTTCAGTGCCTGGTGGTTACAATTTGGCTGATTCCAGGCCTTTTTCCCCTGGCAGACATCATCGAGATGGACTCCAAGCGCGTCCCCCGGGACAAGCTGGCCTGCATCACCAAGTGCAGCAAGCACATCTTCAACGCCATCAAAACCACCAAGAACGAGCCAGCCTCTGCTGACGACTTCCTGCCCACCCTGATCTACATCGTGCTGAAGGGGAACCCCCCTCGGCTGCAGTCCAACATCCAGTACATCACGCGCTTCTGCAACCCCAGCAGGCTGATGACTGGGGAGGATGGCTATTACTTCACCAACCTGGTGAGTGCAGCACGGAGGCTGGGCTTGCACAGCAGGGAGGCAGGAATTGCCAGCAGAGGGCATAAATTCAAGTGCACAAACCCAAATTCAAGTGCACAAACCCAAATTCAAGTGCACAAACCCAAATTCAAGTGCACAAACCCAAATTCAGTTTCATCTTCAAACAGTGGTTGAGGTTACTTAAAGCACAGCCAATTTTGTCTCCTCTCTCTTCCATCTCTGCTGTCCAAATCAGAGCTTTGTTCTCTTATTTTATAACTTTAAACCCTTTATTTGAAAATAATGCTAAGACTTGAGTGTATTTTTATCCTGCAAGATCAGGACTCTCTGTTCCTCAAACCCTGAGTTTGGGCTGTGCAGATGTTCCAGATGCAAAGTCCCCTCTGAGAGTTTTTTGAAGGCCATTCAAGTGTGGAGCCAAACAGGGATTTTACAGCTTCTCCAAGAGGCATTTCTTGGTGTGCTCTGTATTTTATCATAAAATATCCTGGAGGGAAATTACAGAGTTGAATGAAACACTTGGATTGTTAAAAGTTCATTTCAGTAGGAGCAGAGCATCCACCAAGTGAGCTGAGCTTTGACATTCCTTGAGGAAATTAATTAATTAAATTAATCTGCATAGCAGATCTCTGCTGATCAGATAATTAAATATTAATACACTGCTCCTGTCTCCTTGGCATGTTCCTGCTGTTCCCTCACCTCCCAAGCACTCAGACCCTGAGGTCTGGAATGCACCTTGGCAGCTCAGTTTTTGATTTCTTCAAACTTTTAGGGAGAGGAAAGAGTTGTATGAAGTGTCTGATAAAATTAACTCCTGGAAAAGCTCATTTAGGGCATAAAAAATATTAAAAAACTGCTGTAAGAAGAGGGAAAGGAATAGAAAATGTTGTAGCATTTTCTGTAAAGGGAAAGAGAACACTTTTCTGGCTGTGAGCCCTTGCAGTGTGCTGATGGCAGTCCTGCAGTGATGCTCTCTCTGCTCTGTTTGCAGTGCTGTGCCGTGGCCTTCATTGAAAAACTGGATGCTCAGTCCTTAAACCTGAGCCAGGAGGATTTTGATCGCTTCATGACGGGCCAGACCTCCCCAAAGAAGCAGGAATCTGACACTTTCTCCCCTGATGTGTGCCTGGGGGTGAAGCAGATGTGCAAAAGCTTAGACCTCCTCTCTCAGTTGAATGAGAGACAGGAAAGAATTGTCAGTGAAGCCAAGAAGCTGGAGAAGGACCTCATCGATTGGACTGAGGGCATCACCAAGGAGGTGGAGGATATTGTGGAGAAATATCCCTTAGAAATCAAACCAAAAAGCCAAGCCTTAGCAGCCATTGACTCTGAAAACGTGGAGAATGACAAGCTGCCCCCACCACTGCAGCCTCAGGTTTATGCAGGATAATTTTCCCCAGCTAGCTGGGAAGGGAAGGAAATTTAAGGCTTAAAAAAAAAAAAAAGAGCTTAAATCAGTACATTTTAAAGGTACTTTTGGTTTTTTGGGTTTTTTTCTTTTTTTGGTTGAGTGGAATGAATTGTATTTATTTTAGTCCAGTAGGTTTCTATTAGGCTTTGGTGGGTTTTTTGAACTGAATTTCGATTTTCTACACAAACTGGTGTCATTTTTAAGCAACACTAGTCCATTGACATCTCTCCTGAAAGTTCCCTTCTAAGCATGCACTTAATTGTTTTTAATAATTAGTTTAACTTGAAGCCAAGTTCCAGCAGAGAAAAAAAAAGTACCAATGTTAGTCTGAACTTATTCTGTAGCTGTAAAGATGAATTATATATTGTAAAATATGTAAAATTGTAAATAGATTTCAAATCTAATGTCCCAACTGTGCATGAGCTCGTGTGTGAGTGAAAATGATCTCAAAATATTCATTTTAGCACCTTTCAGTTCCATCAGGTTGCAGTAAAAAGGCAAAAATGCTGTTGGAGTTTGGATAACCTGGAAGGGAGAAGTTGGAGTGCTTTGCAGACTTGAAAAATCATCTTAATCTGCTTTGTTATAAAACAAAATTATTTAAGAGATGCCATTTCTTCATTTAAATGCTCTGTCAGAACACCTGGTAGCCTCGAGTGGTGCCCAAAAGTGCTGATTTTACTGCTTTGGGAAGGAATGTGGGGCCAGAAATGGAAAATATTTCAGGAATAAGAGGAAATATTTATATTAAAAACTGCATATTGTGGAACAGAAAAAGGGGAGGGGAAAGAGACCATGAAAGAGTTGCTCCAAAAGTCTCTCTCTCTCCTGGTCACTTCCATCAGTGGGATAAATTTTGGTTGCTTTTTTTGACAATCCTGGGAAATAAATAAATAAGTAAATTCATATAATTTGAGGTTGCTTTTTAGCAGGAGCAGAAAAATGCACTTTATTTCCATGAAACATCAACGTTCTGCTCTTCAGTGACCCCTTCAGCACCTTGAACAGCCAGCTAAAAATGGCTTTTTGTGTCACTGAAAGTCACCAAAATTCAGGTTGGGCTGGAAAAGAGGAGCTCACCCCACAAAAAAACAACCTTTTACAACAGAACTTTGGAACTTTTTCTGTCCTTTTGAAATCCCTTCCAGCTCCATGCAGGCCTGCCCTGAGATCCCAAACACAAAGCTCAGCTGGAGCTGCTTTAAGCCAAGTTTAACTCCTGCCATGAGGAGGAGAGCACAAAGCTGGTGCTTCGTTCCCACTCCACCGAGGCACTGCTGCTCACTTTGCACTGCAATAACTCCAGACCACGACTGTGATTTCCCCTTTCTCTGGCAGTTTTTGGCTTTTTTGTGAACTATGCACCACCCCTGGTGTTCAGAGAAGAAGCTGCAGCACTGGGATGCTCACAACAACACAAAAAAAAATCAAATTATTCCGTGTGTCACCACCCAAAATGCTTAGTGAATAATCCTGGGATTTATTTATTTTATTTGGGTGCTGATTCTGAGCTCCAGCTTTGTCCCGAGGGAGGGCTGGGGGAAGCAAACTTGCAGCTGTTGTGTAAATGAGAGTGTTTAAATAATAAAGTTCTGCCCATTCCTGAGTCCCTGGACCCCTCCTTCATTTTGTTATTCCATTAATCATTCGTGGCTGCTCCTGCATCCTCTGAGCTGGGAGAATCTTGGTATTTCCATCCATTTCTGATCAATTCAAATATCTGTTTCTATTTCCATCCATTCTCAAGTGCCCTGCAAGTTCCAGCCTGGGTACCAGTGTTTATTTTTATTTTCTTTGCAGAGAAGTCGTTGGGGTGAGGTGATGAAGCACTTGGGAAGGATTTTGTAACTAAAATATCTCTTTTTTTTTCATGTGGCATCTTGTAATTAAGGCACCAAAGTGGGGATGGTTGGAGTAAGCTAGTCAGGAAAGGTGGATTTGAGTCAATTTGAAAAATTTGAGTAAATTTGATTTGAGTAAATTTGATTTGAGTAAGTTTGGTTTGAGTAAGTTTGATTTGAGTAAATTTGAAAAATTTATTCAAATTTTGAGTAAATGAGTCAGGAAAGGTGGATTCGAGTAAATTTGAAAAATTCATTTAAAATTTGAGTAAATGAGTCAGGCAAGGTGGATTTCCACACCTGGAGTAATCCCTGAGCAGGGCTGGAGCACAGAGGCACTCAAAGTTTGGGTGAGACCCCCAAAAGAATAACAAAGCAGAGACTTTAATGGAAATATCATCCCTTTAAAAAGTGATTTAAATGGAAATATCGTCCCTTAAAGTGATTTAAAATGCAGCTGTTGTGCTGTGCCCACAGTCAGTGTCAGAAATTAGCTTTATTTTTCCTGCTCTTAGCTCATTATCACTGAAAACAGAGACTGCAGCTCCTCAGGTTGGATCTTTAATTGTAAAATATTTCTTTGCATGGCAACTCCTGCATTTATTTCCCTTGGTAAGGAAGATATTTTACAGGAAATGCTGGAGTCATTAATTATGACTGTTGCTCATTAATTCAGTGCTGTCATTTTGGAGTTTCTGACCTTTCAGATCCTCATGGGACTGCTGGAATTTTACCTTCCCAAAGCATTTTTAGGGAATATTTTTCACCCAAATATTTTAATGCATAATTATTTGTTTATTCTTAATTATTAATTTATTTCAATGCGATATTTAGGGAAGGTTTTCTCCCAGCCTGCCCAGCTGTCAGGGACACTAAACAGCTCCACCAGAGCTCACATTATCCTCGTGGAAACATTTCCATCATATTACCATTGATAATATGGCAATATGGTAATTATAATAATATAATTACATATATATTATAATATATATTATATCATATTATAGTGTATATAGTAGATATTCTATATATTATATACAGTATGTATTTTTATATATTATATAATGTATATAATATATATAATATTAAAATTATAGTAATATGGTAATGTGGTAATTTGTTAATAGTAGTAATATATAATAATGCACTATAACACAATTATATTATTTATCACGATAAATGTAAACGAAGGTTTATTTGCCTTAAGGATTTACCCCTGAGCACCTTTAGGTATTGGAATAGGTATTGGTATGGGTATTTCCGTTAGGAAACACAACAAAAAAGATGTTTGGGGATAATTTTTAGAGGAAAAGGGGAGCGGGAAGGCGGGAACCTCCTGAGGGAGGCTGGAGCGGGGAGCGCGGGGCCGGGGCGACAACGCCGTGAGGGCCCGGAGCCGCTCCCGATGCTGCTCCCGGGCCCGTTCCGCCACTGTTCCCGGTTCCATTCCCGGTTCCCGTTTCCGTTCCCGGTTCCCGTTTCTATTCCCGGTTCCGTTCCCGGCCCCTCCCGCGCTGCCGGCGCCGCCTCAATCTTGTCCCCCCCGCGCCACCGTCGGCGGAGCGGGGTCAGGGCTGCGGCCCGGAAGCGGCGGCGGAGGCGGGGCCCGGTGCCGGGGCCTGTCCGTGTGTCCGGCCCGGGGCTGCCCGGGAGCGGCCTCTCCCCCGCGCTGCCCGTGCCCGCAGCCCCGGCAGGGCAGGACGATGGTGCAGAGCCCGCCCGCACGGCAGCGCCGCCGCCTGTGAGCCCCGCCCGGCCCCGGGGCCCGAGCCCCGCCGCGGACGCCGGTAAGGAGCGGACGGGGGCGGCCCCGCGGCCCGGCCTGCCCGGGGATGGGGGAGCCGTGAGGGGCCGGGAGCAGCGGGAGAGCCCCGGGGCTCCCCGAGCCCGGCTGCGCTCGGCCCGCGGCGGGGCCGCAGCCTCGGTTTATTTTTATTATTTACACATAAAAATGGTGTCGGGAGAGGTCGTCGGCTTGGAGTTTGTGTGCGTGGCGTCGTAGCAAGGGGGGGAAAAAATAACGGCGGTGAAAAATGATAATTTGTGTAGCACTAAAAATAGTTGTGTTTCGAAACAGCCTCTGAGCGGTGATTGCTGCGTGGGGATCACTTTTTGGGGAGCCTTTTGTCGTGTGGCTGTTCTGGGATGTTTTCCCCAATTTTCTCTACACTCCTATTTCACCCTCTTTTACTTTTTTGGTGGGGTTAACTTGACTGATGATTTCACGATGGTTTTAATAACAGAATTCCCGGTGCATCATGCCTGGAACATGGCTGCTCCATCGCTGCTGTTCCATGCAAACCGTGGATCCCAATCACCCTGGGGGAAAATCCATTCCGGCACAGCTGCGATTTCATGTTCCCCATTTTCCCCTCGTTTGCTCTCCAGGGTTTGTCTTTGGGGAGTTCATTTCCAGGATTAGCTCTGGAGATGGAATCACCCGGGTGAATTTGCCTGGCAGACAAGCCCGGAGCGCAGATGAGGATTCATTAATTAAGGTTTGCTCTCCACATCCTCGCCCAACTTCCCCGAAGTTTGGCCGCTGGAGCAGCGCGGTGGGGGAATCAACCTGGGCTTGGCCCTTGTGGTGAACAAACAATCACCGCGTTCTGCTTCCGAGGGCTGAGTGACGGGAAGCGCTCGGGATGAATCCCCGTGGCCCCGGGCAGGACCCAGCGGCTCGGGTTTCACCGGGGCTCCGCTGCCCTGCCCTGCCCTGCCCTGCACTGCCCTGCCCGGCCCGGGACAGCAGCCCCAGCACGGATGTTACTGAATTGTGGCTGGGAATCGCTCGCTGAGCCCGGCCCACGGGCAGGATGCAGCCCCGGCTGGCTTTGTTACCTGCCCTGATCTGAGGAGTGGCTCTGCTGGAATGTGATTCTTCCTTTCCGCTTGAAAGACAACAGCTTGAAAGGTCACCTGAGAAAACAGAATAGTCCCTGTGCTCTGAGAGTGCCCAGCTGAGGGCAGGGGACAGAGAGCTGGGTGTCCTTGCTGAGCAGGGGACAGAGGGACAGAGCCTGGCACATCCAGAGCCCTCCTGGAGCACCCCCTGAGCTGATCCTGCAGGTCTGGCAGCTGGCATCATCTTCTTTTTTGTTAAATGACAGCACAGGCTTTGTAGAAATGGAGCTGTTTTTAGGAATCCAGCCCTAAACTATTAATGAAACTCGCTGGTGTCAGGATTGTGTTGCTTTTCCCAAACCTCCCCTTACCCAAAGCATGGCTGGGTGGGAGTTCATTTTCTTCCTAAGACTGCCCTGACCTGTGAATAAAGCAGGTTCCCAGGGCTCAGAACGCCCAGGCTTTGTTTTGGGTGCAAACCTGTGTGTTTTGGGGGTTTGTTAATGTGTAAAATGGAGTGAGCTCACCCAGCTGGGCTGAGGTGCTGTTTGCTCTGAGCAGGGGGCTGAAGCACACAGACATGAGAATATTCCAGCCATAGCTCTCATATCTCAGCTGTGTCCCAGCTCCCTCATTTCAGTTTTGCTGCTGTTTCTATTTCCATCAGCGGCCACTGGCTGCTTTGCTGCTTCTCCCCCTTCTTTCCACACCCAAACTCTGAATTTGCCATTCCCCAAAGCTGCCATTTCCTCAGCTTGTCAGTAATTTTTCTGCTTGTGATTCAAGCTGTGTATCTGTCTGCATCCCTGTCTCCTCACAGTTCTCATTACAGACTGAAGAGCCTTTTCCTGGCATTTCTCTGCACTTTCACTGCTGAATTGGGTCCCACATTCCTTAATGAGTAGCTTTAATGAAGTCAACAATTAACCTTGAACTGGTCACCACTCAACCAGGTTGTGATTACTGAACAGTTACTGAGAATTTTCACACTTCTTCATCAAAACCATCCTGTATTTTTGATTTCTCACGGATCTTTAAAGGTCCTGTAAAACGGAATAATTTTGTTTTTCCTTTCCCCTCCCAGGTTCTCATGGTGAGCAGTAGTAACCAGAATAGCATTTTTAATACAAATTCAAAGTCCTTCATCTGTTACTGTGTGTTTTATTGCAGTCTGGCTGGTTTGGGTTATGGTAACTCACGTTGGAAGTCATGACTTGGACCTGGAAAAGCTGGGAGGTTTAAAAATGCCCATGAGCTCTTTTAGCTGGAAGTGAATCCATTCCCATGGCACAGGCTCTTGGCAGACAGAGATGCCTGCTTCAGGTTTGGCACCAAAATGTCTGATTTTCAACCAAAGGTTGAGTTCATTTTGATTTTACAGCTGGGTATGTTTAAAATTATGTTTTTCACTTCTAACAAAAGTCAGAATTCAGGGTTCATTGATCCAGGGGAAAAAAGCTTCCTCACTCTGTTGCTGCTTCCTGACTTTTAACTTTCCTTGCCTTTTCTCATTCATCATTTTTAAGAACTGAGAACATACAAAAAAATACCTGGAACTTGTTTGGATTTGTCTGTTTCTGCATGAATTTTTCTTCCAGTGGGAAATGGAAATCAGCTTTGCTGTCCCCAGAGTATCAGCTGGCACAAAGTTCAGGTGCTTGTGGTGAATCCACCAGACTTTCTGAACAACACAAGTCTGTTGGGAAGGGCTGTCACACACAGATTAAGTAATGTTTGTCTTCCTTTTTATTTTTTACATCATTGACTTATTTTTTTCAAGTTTTCTGTCTTTATAGAGAGTTGAAGTCTGAAATTTGGGTGTTTGAAATTCAATCTCAATTTGATCTTTACAATTTTCTGTCATTCAGCAAATTCTCTTCCTTGGCTTTGTTTCATGGGCAGACCTGAAATGTTTGCTGTTGGTGCCCCTCTTGGGGATATTGAAATGATTAATTAATCTTTGAAAAGTGTTTTGAGAGGTGCAAAAAAACCATTTCATGCAAGTATGAAGCATTTGCTTCTTTCTATTCCTGCAAGTCCCTGGATTTGTTCGTATTCTGCATCCTGACCCTTTATCAGGGAGCCAGGAGGAAGGAATGTCCTTTTCCACATTTCCAGGTGCTGTTCCCTGCTGCCCTGTGCAGTGCATGTGCAAAGCCATTTTCCTGCCGTTTTCATCTTCCAGGCTGCAGGAAAATAGAAGTTTTTAGGAAAATGTGGAGTTTTTTCCTCAGTAAACATATTTGTGGATAAAATAGCTCAGCAAACTGATAAGCCACTTCTGGCTGGAGCCAATTCCCCTTATCTCCCAGTGGAGCAGATGTGTTTGTGCACATCTGCTGATCCTGGGGTTATGTTGGGTTGGATTCAAGGACCCAAGGTGATGTTTTTGTGAAGTTTCCTCCTCCACACGCCCTGATTGCTTCCCTCCCTGTGTGCTGAGCAGAAACCTGCTGGCATTTCCCAGGAGTTGTTGGGTTTGGTTTATTCTGCTCACGCTGGAGGAGGCTCAGCTGCACAGAGGTACTGCTGTGCCCTGGGGGATTCCTCCACGATGAATTCCTCCTTCCTGCCTGCCCTGCTGCTGCTGGGGAAGGTTTTAGGCTGTGCAGTTTCATCCCACTTCCTAAAAAGATGATCTGAAGCTGCTGCAGATCCTAACACCTCTATTTTCCCAGATATCAGGATGCTGAAGTTACCCTTCCTTACACTTGAACCTCATCAGGTTGTCCCAGAGCCACCTCTCCAGCCTGTCCAGATCCTTCCCACACAGCTCGCTGTCACTGCCAAGCTTGTCCCCATGTCCCTGTCACCCTCAAAGATGCTGAACAGCACCAGCCCCATCAGCAGCCCCAGCTCACACAACTCTGACTTTTATTTTCACTCTTAGACATCAAATTTGCAGAGAAGAAATCCAAATGAAATGATTTTGGTACCTGCTGCTGTTTATTGTTGCTAAAGGTGTTTGGTGTGAACACCACTGCTTTGTTTGCATTTATTTATGGCTGCTTTCCCGTGTCTGTTTGATTTGTATTTGTAAATATTCCTTTGGCACACAGCATCATTTTCATTCAGAGTGGTTAACCCTGAACTGATCCATTTCTTTACCCCTCTGCACTCCTGGTAGTGAGGCACCTTTGAAAATACAATTGATTTATTTTTTTGAGCTGCACAGCTCAATTTAAATACTGTTCTGTGCAGTGAGATACTGAAAATTGAAAAACTTGTGAGATCCTAAAGGAGTGCTGGGGTAGGCACTGCTGCCTCCTGCCCTTCTCCTTCATCCAGTTTTCCTCCTTAGGATATTTCAGTGGTGGTTTTACATTTAAACCCCTCCTCCAGAGTGATTACCTTGCCTGCACAACAAGAAGGGGAAATATCTGTGAGGAAATTCCATCATTTTAAGCTTTCTAGTGGCAGGGTGGTAGTTGACATTATTGACAAAAATGTCAAACCACTTTGATCTCTTTAAAATTCATCTTTGGTTTGTTTTTTTTTTCACTTTGGTAAGTGCAGTTTTGCTTTCAATACCTGCTTTAGTACAGCATATGGGATTTTTATTCTTAGGAATTCAGCTCCTTTGATATTAAGCCTCCAAATGGGAATTCAATATTTCAGCTGTGACTCATTGCATTGACTTTTCGGTCTTTGTGATAGACTTCAAGATTTTCCTTGTTTGCAATTTAGCCTTGAAAAACTCATCAGTCTATTTCAGCAGCTTCCTTTTCCACACTCTTTCATACACAAATAAAGAGGAATTCAGTGTTGCTCCTTTGAGGTTGCTGTCAGGAGCTGTTTTGGAGGAAATCTCCCCAAATTATAGAATATTTTCCTGCTTTTGAGTTGGCTGCTCAGTTCTGGCCCTCTGACAGATTAAACTGTTGCATTTCCCCCTTTACCATTTTAATCTTGTCCCTGCCTGGGTTTGTAGATGCTGATTTAAGAGCACAACATCTCCAGGGTTTCCTGGCGAGTTCCAGCAGCTGCAACTCCTGCTGAACATCCCTCACTACCCAGCAATTACCTTGGAGCTGCTGGCCAATGTTCCAGCCTGGCAGTTTTCATTCTTGAGCTCCTTGTTTAGTCTGACTGGGGAGATTTTTATTGCACCAAGTATTAAAAGGCTTTGCTGGAGTGAAGAGAGGCAGCAGCAGTCATTAGAGCCACTCACTAAATTATTTATTTGGCTAAAAAGTGAAATCTGATCTTGCTTGCCTGACCTGCCAGGAGGTAAAAGCATTGTTTTGGTTTGGTTTGCTTTTTTTTTAACTCTGTGAACAAGAAATAAAAGTTTAAATGATATTCTTGAAGTTATTCATTTACACAGAGGAGGAAGTAAGTTACTAGAGCTGGCAGAAGAGCTGGGGTGCATTGTGATTCTAACAGAGGAGTTTAAGGAACCCTGAAAATCCATAGACACTTTGATGTAATGCACTGATCTGGGTCACAAATGCCATGACAATTAAAGTTATTTAAGTACTTTGATTAAAAAATCAGTAATTCTTCAGGCAGCAGCATGGAAACATTCATCCTTCTGCTTTCCCCCACTGCTATTTTCATGTCAGCTCCAGTACTGAAATCCACAGTTGTTCCCTTTTCCCTCCCAAATGCTCCAAAGGCACATTACTCCTCGGAAATTGCAGCTTATGGCATTTTCTAATTGCTTTCAAAGCCAGTGAGTTATGGCAGCATATTAAACAACTGGCACTTAAAAGCTGGTGATCTCTTACATAAAAATATTAGCCTGAATATTTCCCTGTGTAGGATTTTCAGCACATCCTCTTTTTTTATGGCTGGTTTTAGACTCTGTGGCAAACAAATTCTAGTGGAGCTGTTAGAAACCCCTTTAAAAAAGGAATCCCAGGCCTGGATGTGCTGTGGGTGACACTCAGCCCTGATTAAAAGCTGCAGTAAACTCTGCATCTGTGTTATTTCCTAAAGGAAATTCAGGAGGGGACACTGCCTACAACTCTGCTTTTGGTTTAGGTTTTGATCTTCCATCTCCCCACGTTTCCAGAAGGAGTATTTGGGGTTTTGCCTCTGGATGGAGCGTTTGGGGTTTTTAACTCGGGCTCTTGGAAGGAATTTGCTGCCAGGGACAAGCCAGGCAGAACGTGCAGGAGGGCGGATCATTCCCAGCATGATCCCTGCCAGCCCCAGCTCTCCCTTCCCTGTCCCTGCTGCCTTCTGCCACCTTGCCTGGCTGTGCCACAGCTGCTCTGGGACACAGTTCTGGTAAGGTGCACATTTCTCATCACCTTTCCTTCCCCTCCCATCCCTCTCCTTTCCCTGCTTTTCACCTTGGCTTATAGGGATGTTCACAGCACCCACTTCTCTGTGAGAAAAACTTCCTGGGCTTTGCAGGGTGGACGGAAAGGGGTTGATGGTGCAAAATAATGAAGCCAGGATGAGATCTTGAGCTCTGGAGAGCTCTGTCTCAGCAGGCACAGCCCAGGGTTGTGTTGTTGGCACTGTACCTGTGACTCTTCTCCCTGAGCTGGATTTTCCCCTCTCTGGGACACTTCTGCAGGTTCTGTCAATATTTCTTCTGCAAACAGGAACTGCTGAAGCATTCCTGCCAGTAAAATCCTTAGTATACACAAGGAAGTTGAGATCAGTTGTACTCTGTGGGCTCTGAAAAGAGCTTTGTCTTCACTCCTGTTCTTTACCCTTCTTTTGTTTTCTCTTGAATCAATAGATCACATCACAGATCCCTCCCTGCCTTGCCCTGTGACTCTCTCATCCTCTGAGCTGCCACTTTTCAGCCCTGCTACACCTGGATTGTAAATGACAATGGTGGCAGTCAGGAGGAATCACCCTGAGCTGCAGGAGCAGTCCCTGCCTTAATTAAATGTTATCAGATCTCTGTGGATGTTCCAGCTTTAACCCTTGCAGTACAGAATCCTTTTTGCCTTTCCCTCAGAGTTTTGGAGATCAGCAGCACCTTGCTAGGAGCAGCTCCTGCCGTGGTGTTTTCATTGGGGTCAAAAGCCTTTTCAGCCAGGGTTTTAGGTAGGACAGAGATAAAGGTGGGCTTGGAGTTCCTTCTTGCAGAGCTTCTGAAGGAGATGTCACAAGGCTGCCCTTTAACACCTGGCTGTTTGCTTTTCCCTGGGTGTGGAGGTGGGGAAGCTGACACAGGAATTTGGGTCTTTTTGCTCTGCAGATAACAATTCAGGAGGAGAATCAGACAAAATTATTATATTTGGGGCAAAAATTAGTGACTCTGTAAGCACAGCCGGGACCTTCCTCAGCATGTCAGGTCCTGGCTGTGCTTACAGACAGAACAAAAAGTTCTAGATCCTGCAAGAATTAAATAAAGACCAGGAGTCTTCCAGCCTCCACCCTAATGCAGTTTTTTGGGTATATCTGCCCATAGGATTCTTGATGCAAAAGCCTTAAATAATGTAGGGCTGCTTCTCAGACCCTGCTTTGAAAATAAAAGCATTTGGGGTGGGGTAAAGAGGGATCCTTAAGGCTCCAGCCTTGGTTTTCAAAGGCTGTGCAGAGTTTGGTTTGTACCTTGGTGCATTCAGACATCGCTGGCATTAAAATGTAGCAGTGATACCCTGCCTGGGGAAAGGCAAGAACTGGCTCTATTACTTATCAGTGATGCTGGGCTGTGCTGGAAGCCCTCATTCCTTAAAACCTGTTCCCAGCTGGCAGTTTGAGGCCCTGGGAAGGTGATGAGGAGCCTGTTCTGCTCACTGCTGTATTTCAGGCACACGCTCTGTGCTCAGTGAAGAGCACAGCCGTGGAATTTAATCTCAATTCTGTGTACAGCCCCATTTCTCTCTTTCTGTCTGCTGTGATCCACCACCCCCAGCTGTAACACACAGTCCAGTGACTCTGTTGGAACATTCTTTCCCCTCAGGTGAACAATCAGAATAATGTTCTACATAAACCTGTTGGAGAACCTGAAGGTTTATGTCAGCAGCCGCCCTCCGCTCGTGGTCTTTATGATCAGCGTGAGCGCCATGGCCATCGCCTTCCTGACACTGGGCTACTTCTTCAAGATCAAGGAGATCAAATCCCCAGAAATGACAGAGGTACGTGCAGAAATGATGTGCCTGAAGTTAAGGTTTTTCCCCTCCTAGAGAGCACAGAGTGGTGGGGGGGATTGTCTCCATTTTATTTTCAGAAGGGCTGTTGGGGTGAGTGTTTGTTAGCTGTTTTATATCAAGGATGAGGCCAAATCATCTGTCATGGATCTTCCCTGCTGTGGCTAGGGACCTTTCAGTTTGTTATTTAGGTGTTATTCAGTTTGTTTATTTAGCTGGTTTGGGGAACTTCTTCCTTCAGCACTGTCCTGCAAGGAGGGGAACCTGGGCAGGAACCACTCACCCCAGAGTGTGATGAGGGGCTTGGAGCACAAACCCTGTGAGGAACAGCTGGGGGAGCTGGGGGTCTTTACTCTGGAGAAAAGGAGACTCAGGGGTGACCTTATCACTCTACAGCTCCCTGAAAGGTGGCTGTGCTCAGCTGGGGCTGGGCTCTTTCTCCAGGCAGCACTGACAGAATGAGAGGACACAGTCTCAAGCTGCATCAAGGGAAATACAGGTTGGATATTAGGAAAAAGTTTTTTAAAGAATGAGTGATAAAGTTCTGGAATTGCTGTCTGGGGAGGTGGTGCAGTCCCCATCCCTGGGTGTGTTTGACAAAGCCTGGATGTGGCACTGGGTGCCAGGGTTTAGGTGACGTATCGGGGCTGGGATGAACTCCATGATCTTGAAGGTCTCTTCCAACCCAGTGATTCTGTGGACAGACTGAGTTTCCTTTCCAGCTCAGGGGAGGGAGCTGGGACTGAACCCATCTGACTTCAGCAAACAACTTTCCTGTTGTTGAGCCAGCCCTGCTGGTGTTTGTGTTGCCCTCTGAGCCGTGTGATTTTTGTTCAATGGCCTGGAACCGGGCGGGAGCTCCCTCATGGGCTTGAATTCTCCCCCTTTTGTTTTAAGGACTGGAATACTTTCCTGCTGAGGTTTAATGATTTGGACTTCTGTATATCTGAGAATGAAACCTTGAAGCACCTCCTGAACGACACCACAACCCCAGAGAGCACGGTGACCAGCGGCCAGGCCAGGTCTTCCACGCAGTCCCCACAGACCCTCGAGGACTCTGGTCCCATCAACATCTCTGTCACCATCACGCTGACCCTGGACCCTCTCAGACCTTTTGGGGGATACTCTCGCAATGTCACACACCTCAGCTCCACAATTTTTGGGCACCAGATTGGACTTTCAGGTAGGCAAGGATGGACCTTCAACAATTCGGGTTACAGTTGGCTTTTAGAGGGTTTTTCCTAACCTTTCACAGGGGGATTGGCTTCAAACTGAAATTAAAGAGGTTTAGATTAAATATTAGGAAGAAATTCTTTATTGTGAGGGTGATGAGTGCTCAGAAGCTGTGGCTGCCCCATCCCTGGAAGTGTCCAAGGCCAGGGTGGACAGGGCTTGGAGCAACCTGAGCTAGTGAAAATGTCCCTGCCCATGGCAGGGGGTGGAACAAGATAGTTTTTAAGGTCCCCTCCAGCCCAAACCATTCTATGATTCCAAATAATTATAATATTTTAATCACTATATAATCAAATAAAAATGTTTTCTACTATTATTATTATTATTGTTGTTGTTATTGTTATTGTTATTATTGTTGTTGTTATTGTTATTATTGTTGTTGTTGTTGTTGTTGTTGTTATTATTGTTATTATTATTATCTCTTATGCACAGAACACAGATGTGCTCCCAACTTCCTCTGAGTTTATTCCTGTATGGAGCCCTTCTCTTGTTTGTTAGAGGAACTTGTCCCTGCATTCAGAATGGAAAAGAACCTGCAGGCATGCCAAGATCAGGCTTGGCAGTTTGAAATGATTAAACCTAATGACAATGGAAGGTCATTTTTAAGCCAGCAAAATTCCAAACAGTGACTCTCTTCAGTTTTGTCTTGATCCATCAAGTCCTCAGCTGACATTTCAAATGTGGCATAGATGCAGTAGAGAGTATTATGTTGCCTAAAAAATTCTAGTTTATCTAAAATGCATAAGTGAATCAGCTTTAATATCACAAACAGCACCAGATAAGATGATTATGGTTTCTGTGGTGTGCAGAGACCAATCTGCTCTCTGGCTGCCTGCCAGGAAGTTTTGACAGGAGTTCATAGAGAATTAATAGAAGTTGATAATAGAACCTCACTGTATTTTAGCTTTCAGCCAGAATTACATTTTATAATAATGTTGAAGGTCTTGAACCTGTGGAGAGACATTGCCAATAGCTGCAAATGTGCATTACTGGGGTTTCTGTTGTTATTTTGTTGCTGCTTTGAGAGCTACCAAATGCAAGTTCCATTTGCAGCAGCCTGGATTTGTTTTCAGTCTGAATTTCTCCACATGGGGTGATCATACAGGACTTAATGTGCAGTTCAGCATCTGCTGACACCTTTTTCTCTGCACAAAAATCTCCAGTTTGAAAAGTGAGCACCACAAGAAACAGATGTGGAACAAAGTTCTTAGGAGGAGAAAGGCTTTTCTTATAAAAGTCTGTGAACATGCATGAATTCACTTAGAGTTTTTAATTTCTGAAAGCAGCCTGATGTCCCCAGTTCTGGGGTGGGAGAGATGGTCTGTGAACATGCATGAATTCACTTAGAAAGAGTTTTTAATTTCTGAAAGCAGCCTGATGACCCCAGTTCTGGGGTGGGAGAGATTAGAAAGAGCAGCAGCTGGGGGATTTTGTGGTTTGTTTTGGGTTTAACTTTTCTCTTTGTTGCCTGCAAAGATCCGGGACAACTCCAAAGGGTGACGCTTCCTGCCTTAATCATCTGTGTGCTCTCCTTACCCCAGTGATTATTGCTCAGATACATTTGTGAACCCAAACCCAGCTTTCCTTGTCTCTTTCTCAAAGGCAGAGAATCCCACGAGGAGATCAACATCACCTTCACCCTGCCAGCTGCCTGGAACTCTGATGACTGCGTCCTGCACGGCCACTGCGAGCAGGTCGTGTTCACCACCTGCATGACTGTGACAGCAGCCAGCAACGTGTTCCCAGTCACAGTGTAAGTGCAGCCCTCCCCCAGGGGCTGCTTCCTGCCTCACTCATTCCTCTGAGTTGTTAGCTCCTCCTGAAAATTCCTGTTGATCATGGGAATTATGTCCTTGCACTCCGCCCCCCATGGTAAAACATTTGTCACAAAAACTCTGCTCTCTTTGAGATTTTTTTTTGGCCCATGCCTGCCTTTTAACTGTGATTTAAACTTCACTGGGAGCAAGAGAATCCCTGGAAATTTAAGGGATTTACCCCATAAATGAGTTTCAGAGATGAGATTTGACACTGAGGTTCTCACCCTCTTCCCTGCTGAGAGATCAGCTCAAGGCAAAGGCTGCTTTGCCTTCACCAAAATATCTTCCCTTTGTCTTCCCTGACACTGTTCCATCCAACCTGGAGGAGCCCAGGCTGTGGGAAGCCTTAGAAAAACCAGTATTTTTCCAATTATGCTATGGGATGTTGGCTTAGTGCAACAACATGCAGTTAAATTCTCATTTTGATGTAGCAATCATGTGGCTTTTAGGGGTTTTTAACTGAAACTTTGGGGTTTTGTTGTTGCTTTGGAAGGCCCAAACTAAAACCATGTTTTGAGGAGCAAAGTTGTCCTGGTTGAACATGGAAAATACATTTCAGAGTGCTGTTTATTTCTGTTTTCTTGCAGTCAGCCACCACATTGTGTTCCTGAAACCTACAGCAATGCCACTCAGTGGTACAAGATCTTCACCACGGCCAGGGACTCGAACACAAAATATGCCCAGGATTACAACCCCTTCTGGTGTTACAAGGGAGCAATTGGCAAAGTCTACCATGCTTTAAATCCCAAACTAACTGTTATAGTTCCAGATGTAAGTGCTGGCTGTTGCTCTGGTGTTTTCAGTAAATGCTTAGCTCTGGTTTCATTGGATATGTTTCCTAAAATTGTCATTTTTGCTGCTGGTTTATCATGTGGCTTCATTGGATATGGTTCCTAAAATTGTCTTTTTTTGCTGTTTATTGTGTGGTATGAGGGCTGAGAATGCTCCACCCTAATGGGTTTGATGATTTTCATCCATGTGCCTCACAGCTCTTCACAACCACCATTTATACTTTGAAATCATTTCACAAAAGCCTCTGCCAATATTTGGAAAATATCCCTAACACAGATTTTTAACACAAGAAACATTTTGTGCCACGAGTAGGAATCACTTCTATTGCTGTGTAAAGGGCAGAAAGTTGATTAATGAAGTTATTTTGTGGGTTGATCTGGTAATTATTGCTTTAATGTCAAGTGCTAGGTCAGTAAATGGTTTTGTTTTGCTTTGCTGTGTGCAGGACGATCGCTCTCTAATAAACCTGCACCTCATGCACACCAGTTACTTCCTCTTTGTGATGGTGATCACAATGTTCTGCTATGCAGTCATTAAAGGCAGACCAAGCAAACTGAGGCAAAGCAACACAGAATTCTGCTCTGAAAAGGTGAGTGTGTGGTAACAAAACCCTGACTCTGATAAGGAAACAGAGGAAAGCTCCTGCTGGGCAGAGGACAGACTGGTTTTTCTTGTCTCTGGAGATGGGGATTTAGTTGCCTTTCATTGTGGACAGTGCAGGTAGGGGTTATAAAATCCACACAAGGCCTTTGGAGATCCTCAAAATGAGATTTCTGTCCCCCAGAAATGCATCATTGCAGCTCAGGAAGTGCTGGGCTGTGACTCTGCTGCCGTAATTATGGTGTTGCAGGAACTTTTTTGTGAAGCAATTAGTAGGTGGCATTAAATCTTCATTTATTCATTATCTTTTACCACAACAGACTGAAAGCCTTGAGTAAAACATGATACATAATTCTAAGGGTTGTTCATCAGAATTAAGTAAAAAACAAAGCTGTTGAAAGAGTCACTGGTTGTTAATCAGAATTAAGTTAAAAACAGTAACAAAGCTGTTGAAAGAATCATTGTTCAGTGTTACCTTGGGGACCTGCAGTTTGCCTGAAGGATTCCATGTGAATATTTTTAATTCAGAAGTAGGAAGCCAGTGTTGACACCTTTTGGTCTTAGTGATATTTTGTAGTTTGGGGTGTTTTTTGTGGGATTTTTTTTTGTTTTGTTTTGGGTGGTTTGGGACTTTTATTCTATTGATTTTTGCAAAGTACAAAACGCCTTCAGACTCCCTTTGATTTCCTTTCCAAGTCAGACTTTCCAAGCTTTCTTTGAAAAGTCAAGGACAGCTCTGCCAGCTCACAGAGATAAATCATATCACTGTTACAGGATTAAGAATTTCCCTTTAATTAAATATTTTCCTTTGGTTTTTTTTTTTCCAGGTTGCTTTGTCAGAAGCATAAACCCCCCCTGTCCTCCTGAGAACGACGAAACCATTGCCTGCTGAACCCAGCCTGGGTCTTAACACTCTGTGAATCCATTACCTTGCAATGTTGGTTTATTCCAACCAAAGACATTTCAAAGTGCCTGTAATTGATTTGTACATATTTATAAAAGCAGAATATCCAGAGTAATTCTGAGCAGATGTGCTTGTCCCCTGGCCCTGCCCTGGGACAGCCCCATGTTGGTGTAGATAACTCCAGTGAAAAGGCTCCACTGAGGCAGAGATTTTTGTCTAGCTGCACCTGGGCAGGTGAAGATGCCTTTGCAAGTGTCTCAAACCAACCAAGAGATGTTTGGTTTTTTGCCCAACCTGTACAGTGTGTTTGAACCAAGTATGCACCTTTGATATAATCCTGCATTTCCAAAGCCACCAATCTACAACATGAATTCAATGTGTGTTTGTGTGGCCTAATACTTTATTCCATTTGCTCCTTGCTTGCAAGAAAAGATATCAACGTTTTAGATTTTTTTTTCTCTTTTGGAAGAAAAAAAAATACATATTCACATTTTAATAGTGCTGTATTTAGGACAAACTTGTGCTTTTATTCATAGTAAAGAAATTAAGAAGTGAAGTCCCATTTTAAACTGTTACTTACTGAAAAGAACTGTTTGATTTTTTTGTTTTGGTTTGGTTTTTTTTGGTTTGTTTTTTTTTTGGTATTTCATTTGGCTTGCTGAATGCCAGAGAACCAGTCAGCACAGAGACTATCTGGAAAACTTTTCCACTTGGCCTCCCCTCCCCAGCCCTCCAGCCAGGATTGTGTGTCTCTGCTGCAGAGCAGCTGTCTGTAAGCTTTTTTTTTTTTTTTTCATTTTCTTTCTTTTCTTTCTAGAAAGTGAAACTTAATAAAAGATGTATTGTGTTAGCAGCCTGCCCGGGCTCTGCGCAGCCTTGGGCAAGTGCAAAGAGTGAAAGGAAAAGAGATGCCAGAGTCTGTTCCAGAGCTTCACTCTGGGCTGTGCCTGCAGCTCTGAGGGGAGCTGCCCCTGGCCCTGCTGGGCTCTGGCCCATTAAATTCATTAAATTGCCATTTTCTGCTGTCCACTCAGGGGAAATGGCCACCAAAGTGGGGCTCTTGTGAGGAAGGTCAAAGAAACCACCCGGTGAAACCCCTTCTGTTCTCTGTGTCCATTCTTCTGTCAGAGATTTGGTTCTGTGCATTTCTCCCTTCTCCATTCTGCCTTTTGCTGGTTTTTCTTCTGGTTCCTTGAGCGGCCTCCTCAATTTCAGGGGTCAGGCTCTTCCTGCAGACATTTCCACCCCTACTTTTAAATCTCACTGGTTGCCTTAACTGACTTTTTACTTTCCTCCCAGCTTTCATTCATTCCTTCATTCCTCCATTCCTTCATTCCTTCCCACAGGCTTTTTTTCCTCCTCCTTTTGCTCCAAACTCTACAGAAGAAAAAAGCCAAGTGAGAATCTCATAGTCTCAGTGATGCTGGCAGAAAATTCCCAGTTTATTCCCTCCAGACACCACTCCTGGTCTGTGTGTGTTGGGACTTCAGTAAGGTCACGAGTGTTCAGGGTGTTTGAGCAGTCACAGTTTTGTTTCCTCCCACAGTTTCAGTTCCCCAAGTGGGATTACCTGACATGTTTTCTTCCAGGGAATGTTAAGGCAAAGCTTTAGAGATGGCCTGGTTTGGAGTTTAGGGATAAAAAGAAGCTCCCAATTTTCTCCTGATGCTGCTGTGGGCTGCTGCTGCTTCCCTGGGATGAAAGGGGAGTGAAACAGGCCAAGAGCTTCTCCTGAGCTGTTCCTAAATCCCACAAGCCCAGCCTTCCTTGCTGATCCTCACTCCAAGAGCTGCCTCTGAGGGTGGCTGGATCTGGGGCCCAAAGGCAGGAATAGGAGATGGACTGGGAGAGAGGAGTCCTGGAAATACCCAAAAACCACCCAAAGCAAAGCAAATCCTTTCTCCTTCAACAAATTCCAGCTCCAAACGTCCCAGCTGGAATTTGGGCTGTCTGGGAAACCATTTGGGAATGAAAGGAACCTCCTTGGCAACTTCTCCCCCACTTCCTGCACCCCCAGGAATATTGAAGATTGTCCCCCACAGATGCAAAAGGGAAAGTTGGATTTTTTGGCCTTAGTTATCCTTCTGCCCCCTGCAGTGCAGCAGGGAGGTGCAGGGTGCCCAGCAGGCCAAGTGCTGGAATGCTGAGGAATATTGGATTGTTCCCAGGCGATGTACAAAGTTAAATGCAGCCAAACAGAAGAGTTAAAACTTAATATTAAAGTTCAGATCATATTGATCTTTCCTTTTTTTGTTTTCTTTTTTCTTTTTAACTATGACTTGAATCAGTTTTGATTCTATTTGTACGTGTTTTCTTGTTCTTAGAAAGCTGCCATTTTCTTTTTTTTTTTTTTTCCATTTTCTTTGGCATTACATAGAAAATCTGAGCCTTGGTTTCAACCCTCTGCAGGTGATTGTAGGGTTCGAGATGGCTGTTTTTTGTTTTGTTTTGTTTTGTTCTTACATTTCACTTGTCTTGTTGCATGATGGTTAATAGCTGATTTGGAAATGACATTTCTCTCCTAGATTAATTTTTGTGTTTGTAAGATGTGCATATTGCTTTGCAGAATAAAAACTATGAAGTTTATCCTTGTTGTCTTTATTTCCACGGCCTGGTGGCTGCAGAGGTTTCATAAATCAACCAAAATTACGTGGAGCACAGGAGGAGATCAGGGAAAAATCTGCAGCAAAATGAAATTGAATTTGGGTTGTAAATTCTCTTTTTCCCTCCAGCACTCATCAAAACCTTGCTGGTGATGAATTGCCTGGCAGGGAGAAAATCAATCTGAAGGTAGCAGCCCCTGTTTTCCTGTTTAACTCCTGGGACTTGTTTGTCTGCTGTCACCAAAATTTGGATTCCTGAGCCCCAGCCCTGTCCTGGGAGATCTCAGGAGCTGCACACACACAAAGGATCCATTGTGGCTCCTTCCTCTCAGCTTTTGCCAAATTTTTGGGTGCAGTCTGAGGCTGACCTTGAGTGTCTGTGAGCCCAGGCTGGGAAGAGCTCGGTGGCCAAAGGAAGGGTTGGATCTCCCTGCAGCCCGTTCCTGAGCTGTCCCTGTCCCTGCAGGGGCTCTGCACAGCCCCTCTCCCCTGCTGTGCCTTTCCTGGGCTGCTGGGACAGCCTGGTTTGTGCTTCTCCTTTTTGAAGGGTTTTTACACTCTGCTGTGACAAACTGAGAGCTAAAATCTGGATCATCCCAGCTGCTCCAGCTCTGCCCTGCAAGGCTTCCTGGCAGAACCAATATTCCCTTTTATTTACCTTCTGAAGATGTTTCTTTACAGAACTGTTGGGATCTGAGCATAGATTTCCCTGGGCTGCCTTTTTTTTAGCTCCTTGCGTCAGGATTCAGGCACCTCCATGAAATAAATAGCAATAAGATTCAAGCTGTAGTGACAAAAAGAGTAAGGCAAGGCAGAGAGCAGCTTTTTAAAATGTATGTGAATAAAACAAATGTCACAATTCTGTGTCATTTGTCTTTTGAAAGGATCCCTGCTGGTAATATTCCAGCAAGAAGGGGTTTTATAGCGAGGAGGGTGATCAAATATTCACTGTATCATGGGATAATCACACCAGGGAGTTGTTTTGTCAGTGGGGAAAGGTTGAGAGCCCAGGAGCAGCTCAGGTGAGGTGAGGGACTGAAAAACAGGGCTGTCCTTGGATTCTGCATGAACAAAATTGTCACCTAGAAGGCACAAATGGCTAAAAAAGGTGATTTTTGGGGGGTAGGGGCTTGTTGTGGGGCTCAGAGCAATGGATGTCCCCCTAAATTTGAGCCTCACCCTCCTGAAAGCTTGGTTGTGTTCCTCAAAGCTCAGGGAATGGGGGAAAACAGCTTAAAAATGCACATTTCCAAAAGGAAACCCTCTGTGAGATCCCAGGCAGTGCAGGTGACCTGAAAGTGCCTGGAAATGAGGAGAGACCAAACGTGGATCCGGGTCAGGGAGAGAAACCTGGGATTCCTGCAGGGAATGGATTTGTAGGATGAGGCAAAATGAGGAATGCCAGTGGGGAAGGGGGAGCTGTGCCCTGAGGGGACTCGGGGGCTGGAGGGGAAATCCCTGAGCAGAAATCCCTGAGGACAGAGGGGCTGGAGGGGAAATCCCTGAGCAGAAATCCCTGAGGACAGAGGGGCTGGAAGGAGGATCCCTGAGCAGGAATCCCTGAGGACAGAGGGGCTGGAAGGAGGATCCCTGGCAGGGATTCCTGTGGAGGAAGAGGCTGAGGGAGATTTCTGAACAGGGATCCCTGAGGACAGAGAGTCTGGAGGAGAATTCCTGTGGATGGAGGGTCTGAAAGAGGAGCCCTGCAGAGAGAGGGGCTGTGGAAAGATCCTGAGGTGAGGATCCCTGAGGATGGAGAGGGAATCCCTGAGAGGGAATCCCTTGGGCTGAGGGTGTGGAGGGGAAATCCTGGGGTGAGGATTCCTGAGAATGGAAGGATGGAGGGGATGGAGGGGGATCTCGGAGCGGGGATTCCTGAGGGGGATCCCTGAGGATGCAGGGGATGGAAGGAGAACCCTGAGCGGGGAGTGCTGAGGATGGAGGGGGATCCTGGAGCGGGGATTCCTGAGGGGGATCCCCGAGAATGGAGGGGCTGGAGGGGGATCCTGGCGGACAAAGGGTCCGGAGAGGGTCCGTAACCGGGTGTCCGTGCTCGGGTGCCCCTGTGCGGTGTTCCCGGTGTCCCTGTCCCGGTGTCCCTGTCCCGGTGTCCCTGTCCCGGTGTCCCGTTCCCGGTGTCCCTGTCCCGGTGTCCCTGTCCCGGTGTCCCTGTCCCGGTGTCCCGTTCCCGGTGTCCCCGGACACCGCTGGGTGGCGGCACGAGCCCGTCCTTTCCCCGAGCGGGGCCGGATGCTTTTGGGAGGCGGTGGAAAATCTTTTGTCCATCCCGGTGCTCCCCAGGGAAAATCCCGGAGCCCAGCGTTTTCCCATCCCGCTGCTCCCCTGGGGTCTCTCGCTCCGGGCAGTGCCCGGGTTTTGTGCACGGAGGGCCCGTGTGGCAGTGAAAACCGGGATTTTTCCTGGAGATGTCCCAGGGGGAGAGGCGCTCCCAGGTCACTGCGGGTTCAGGAGTGCAGCCCTGCTGCTCCTCCCTCGTCCCTGCTCCACAGCAGGAGAGCAAAACACCCCCTGACAAAATTCCTTGTCCTTTCTTCCCCATCCGTATTCCCAAAAAACCCACAAACCCAGCCCTAGCACTCCGGGGAGGCACAAGGTGTCCCCCGAGCAGCATCCCAGGCCTCGGATGAACTTTTAATTACAAATATTCCACGCCTGAAGCTGCCTGGGGAAAGTCTGGGAATGATCTTGTTTTCCCCAGGTCTTGCTTCCAGGCAGGGAAAGGGAAGAGCAGGAAACTCGTAAGGAATACATTGGGTTTGTGGATCCCCCCGTGGAAGCCCAGCCCGGTGAACACAAAGGTCAAAGCAATGAGACAAAACTTTTCCTGCCGTGGATCAAAGGAGGAATTCCCGAGGATTTGCTTTTCTCGGTTGTGATAACCGTGAAACTCAGCCCCAGGCCTGGTGCTGGTTCTGGCTGCCAAGCACGGGGTCTGAATTAATTCAGGATTAATATCAGCAGCGATTTGGGGTGCAAAGGTGCTGGTGCCACGATGGTGGCTCAGACCCCTGCCGGCAGCAACTTCACCATTTCCCGACCAGAACCCAGCCCCGATGCCCAACTCTGCCCTGAAGACAACGGGAATTAATCCTTCTTTGGGAGATTTGAGCTTCCCCACCCCTCCTCCTTTATTTAAAGCCACAACCCCCGCGATTCCCGGCCGTGATGGGCACGGGAACTCCTCTCCTTCCTCCCTTCGTTTTGGGGGAAGCTGCTGCTGCGGGGAGCGAGGCGAGCTCCGGGAATTGTTTATGCACTCTGTGGTGCGTGGATAAAATGGTTTGCAGCAATCCTTCCCGTATGAATGGCTGTTCGGGAATCCTTCCTGCAGGAACGGTTTTTCGGGAATCCTTCCTGCAGGAATGGTTTTTCGGGAATCCTTCCTGAATCTCTGGGAGCTCCCAGCAGGGAATGCCGCTGTCGCGGGGATGCTGTGCCACCACCGGGGTGACACCAGCCGCATTCCGTGTGCAGAGGGGATGAAGGCTGGCACAGAGGAAAATCCCTCCCAGGGGCCCTGGGGACAATGACAGCGGCCCCAAGGTGCCGGCGGGGGCTCAGGAAGGAGCCCCCGGCAGCTCGGGATTGCTGGAGCTCGGGACAGTGCCGGGGGCCGCTGAACCTCGGGATGGCTGCCCTGACAAAGGCAGGATCCTTGGGAAACAATTCCACACGGCTGAGAGCCGGGATCCAGGCAGGGTCCTTTGGGAAACAATTCCACACGGCTGAGGGGGCAGGATCCTTTGGGAAGCCATTCCCCATGCCGAGAGCCGGGATCCGGGCAGGATCCTTTGGGAAGCCAT